TGTTCCAACATCCGTGAAATGTCACACCGCTAGAAAACGCCAAACGGAGGAACCTTCTAACGAGCGTCCCGATGAGTGACATTAGAGAAACTTTACCTGCACAAACAAACAGGGCCGAGTTCAGGCGGGAATGTCGCACCTGCCACTTGCAGGCAGGGAGATTACCACACGGTCTTGCTGTCTGCTCGAGTTGCTGCTGAAACTCTTGTAGTTGTCATGGATGTACTTTCACACCTGCAGTTTCGCCTTTAATAAGAAGCCGGCCTCCGTGGGCTATTGGGCGCAGCAGGAGATGGCACTGGGCCAGGTTCTGAATCACCTGGGTTAATGATTGTCACATACACGGGCATGCGCGCGGGCACACACATACACACATACTAGAATAAGGGACTTAGCCAAGGCTCAAACTGTCCTGAATTATTGAAACTCACTCACTCACTTTCTCACAGGGCGCTTACAAACACACACAGCACTCACAGCATCTTTATTCTGTCATACTCACTCACTCTCTCTCTCTCTCTCTCTCTCTCTCTCTCTCTCTCTCTCTCTTTCTCTCTCTCACACACACACACACACACACACACACACATCAAGAAAAGACACTGGGCCAACGTTGAAGCTGTTCTATCATAGTTACATGTGTGTTGTGAGTGAAACTGGCTATCTGACCCACACCAGGCGTCCAGACCTCAAATGTGTGGTTTTGTTTGTGAGACTGGCTCTCTGTCCCACACAAGGTGTCCAGACCTCAGATGTGTGGTTTTATGTGAGACTGGCCTTCTGTCTCACACCAAGCCTACAGACCTCAAATGTGTGTGAGAATAGACCTCTGTCCCACACCAGGTGTACAGACCTCATATGTGTGGTGTTGTGTGTGAGACTAGCCCTCTGTCCCACACCAGGTGTCCAGACCTCAGATGTGTGGTTTTGTGTGTGAGACTGCCCCTCTGTCCCACACCAGGTGTCCAGACCTCAGATGTGTGGTTTTGTGGGAGACTGGCCTTGTCCCACACAGTGCTTCCAGACCTCAGATGTGTGGTGTTGTGTGTGACTGGTCCTCTGTCCAACACAGGGCGTCCAGACCTTAGATGTGTGGTTTTGTGTGTGAGACTGGACCTCTTTCCCACACAGGGCATCCAGACCTCAGATGCGTGGTGTTGTGTGGGAGACTGGCCTTGTCCCACACAGTGCGTCCAGACCTTAGATGCGTGGTGTTGTGTGGGAGACTGGCCCTCTGCCCCACACAGGGCGTCCAGACCTCAGATGCATGGTGTTGTGTGGGAGGCTGGCCTTGTCCCACACAGTGCGTCCAGACCTCAGATGTGTTGTGTGTGGGACTGGCCCTCTGTCCCACACAGTGCGTCCAGACCTCAGATGTATTGTGTGTGAGACTGGCCACACCTGACGTCAAGAGCTCAGAATTGCCAGCTCTACAAGTGACACAAACATGATGGAGGACCATCGGGCCCCAGACAGCATGTCATATGTATATTAGATTGTAAGATGTTGATTGTCAGATTCTGTGTTGAGGGAAAAACTGCTGACAACTGAGATATTTTCCGCTGTCATGGAATAAATAAATGTCCCAGTTGTAGGGAACATGGAGGTGAGACGATAGAAACCAATCCCTCTTCCAAGAAATGAGATCATCTGAGCTTTCTAGACACTAATTGTTCGTTTTCTGTTTAATATCCTTACATTAACATGATTCATGTGTTCGTTCATTACCCTGTTGTGCCATTATATGTCACACAAGGCTAGCAGTCTCTTCCTCCATTCTATTCTATCCTGTGAAATCAGTTCAATTTCACAGACAAAACCCAATCCAGCACTTTGGCCTCTCTCATTACCATTCGTCTTATGGTTTCTTTTGAGCTCTCTCTCTCTCTCTCTCTCTCTCTCTCTCTCTCTCTCTCTCTGTCTTTCTCTCACACTTATCTCTCTCTGTTGATCTGTATCTCACTCTTTCTCTCACTTCTCTCTATGCCTCTGTCTCTCACTCTCTCACACACTTCTCTCTCTTTCTCTCTCTTTCCCTCTCTGTCTCTCTCTTTCACTCTCTCTCTCTCACTTCTCACTCTCTCTCTCGCTTCTCTCTCTCTCTCTCACAATTTTCTCTCTGTGTCTGTCTCTCACTTCTCTATCTCCCTGTCTCTCACTCTCTCTCCTACACTTCTCTCACTCTCTCTCTCACTCATCCACTCTCTCTCATTTCTCACTCTCACACTTCTCTATCTCTGACTCTCTGTGACTCTCTCACACTTCTCTCTCTTCTCTCACCCTCTCTCTCTTACACTTCTCTCTCTTTCTCTGTCTCTCACTCTCACTCTTCTCTCTCCCTGTCTCTCACTCTCTCTCTCACACTTCTGTTTCTGTCTCTCATTCTCTTTCACACATTTCTCTCTCTCTCTCTTTCACTTCTCTCACTCTCTCTCATTTCTCACTCTCAAACTTCTCTATCTCTGTCTCTCTGTGTCTCTCTCACACTTCTCTCTCTGTCTCTCACCTCTCTCTTACACTTCTCTCTCTTTCTCTGTCTCACACTCTCACACTTCTCTCCCTGTCTCTCACTCTCTCTCTCACATTTCTCTCTACGTGACTCTCTGTGTGTGTCTCTCTGTCATTCATCGCTCTCACGAACTTCTCTATGTGTCTCTCTCTCATTATCTCTCTCGGTCTCCCTCTCTCTGTCTCTCATTCTCTGCCACACTTCTCTCTCTTTGTCTCTCATTCTCTCTCGGTCTCTCCCTGTCTCTCTCTCTGTCTTCCTCTGCCTCTCTGTCTCTGTCTGTCTCTATGTGTACCTCTCTCTCTGTCTCTCTCAGTCTGTCTCTTTCTCACGCTTTTCTCTCTTTCTGTCACACTCTGGCTCTGTCTTTCTCTGTCTGTCTCTCTCTGTCTCCTATTCTGTCTCCTTCACAGTTCTCTTTCTCTGTCTCTCTCTCCGTCTGTCTCTCATTCTCTCTCACTCACACTTCTCTTTCTATGTCTCTTTCTGTTTGTCTGTCTTTCTCTATGTCTCTTTCTCCTTATCTCTCTCTGTCTCTCACTCTCTTTTTCATTCTCTCCCTGCTTCTATTTCTCTATCTTTCTCTCTATCTCTCTCCCTGTACTCCCTCTCTCTCTGTCTCTTTCTGTCTCTCTCTCTCTCTCTCACTCTTACTCTTTCTCGATCTCTCTCGATCTCTCTATCTCATCCTGAAGACTACAGACTAAAAGCCTCAAATAGGCTACTGTGTGAACATGATTCTCATTGTCTCTGTGTGTGTGTGTCTACAGGAGCGTACTACTGTGTGAACATGATTCTCATAGTCTGTGTGTGTGTGTGTCTACAGGAGCGTACTATTGTGTGAACATGATTCTCAGTGTGTGTGTGTGTGTGTGTGTGTGTGTGTGTGTGTGTGTGTGTGTGTCTACAAGAGCGCAGTATAGTGTGAACCTGATTCTCATTTGTCTGTTAGTGTGTCTACAGGAGCGTACTACTGTGTGAACATGATTTTCATTGTATGTGTCTACATGAGCGTACTACTGTGTCAACATGATTCTTATGTGTGTGTGTGTCTACAGGAGCGTACTACTGTGATTATCATTGTATGCGTGTTTGTCTGCAGGAGCGTACTAAAGGTGTGAACATGAATCTCAATGTCTGTGTGTCTACAGGAGCTTAGTATTGTGTGAACATGATTCTCATTGTCTGTCTGTGTGTCTACAGGAGCGTACTAGTTTGTCAACATAATTCTCATTGTCTCTGTGTGTGTCTACAGGAGCGCACTACTGTGTGAACATGATTCTCATTTGTCTGCGTGTGTGTATGTGTGGGTGTGTCTACAGGAGCTTAGTATTGTGTGAACGTGATCCTCATTTGTCTCTGTGTGTGTCTACAGGAGCGTAGTATTGTGTGAACATGATTCTTATATGTGTGTGTCTACAGTAGCGTAGTATTGTGTGAACATGATTCTTATATGTGTGTGTCTAAAGGAGCGTAGTATTGTGTGAACATGATTCTTATATGTGTGTGTCTACAGTAGCGTAGTATTGTGTGAACATGATTCTTATATGTGTGTGTCTACAGGAGCGTAGTATTGTGTGAACATGATTCTTATATGTGTGTGTCTACAGTAGCGTAGTATTGTGTGAACATGATTCTTATATGTGTGTGTCTACAGGAGCGTAGTATTGTGTGAGCATGATTCTTATATGTGTGTGTCTACAGGAGCGTAGTATTGTGTGAACATGATTCTTATATGTGTGTGTCTACAGTAGCGTAGTATTGTGTAAACATGATTCTCATTTGTCTGTGTGTGTGTGTTTGTGTGTGTCTACAGGAGCGTAGTATTGTGTGAACATGATTCTCATTTGTCTGTTAATGTCTACAGGAGCGATTATTGTGTGAACATGACTCTCATTTGTGTGTGTGTGTGTGTGTGTGTGTCTACAGTAGCGTAGTATTGTGTGAACATGATTCTCATTATTCTGTGTGTGTCTACAGGAGCGTAGCATTGTGTGAACGTGATTCTCGTTTGTCTGTTTGTGTGTGTGTCTACAGGAGCGTAGTATTGTGTGAACATGATTCTCATTTGTATGTGTGTGTGTGTGTGTATCTACAGGAGCGTAGTATTGTGTGAACAGGATTCTCATTTGTGTGTGTGCGTGTGTGTGTGTGTGTGTGTGTGTGTGTGTGTGTCTACAGGAGCGTACTTCTGTGTGAACATGATTTTCATTGTGTGTGTCTTCAGGAGCGTACTACTGTGTCAACATAATTCTCATGTGTGTGTGTGTGTGTCTACAGGGCGTAGTATTGTGTAAACATGATTCTCAATGTCTGTGTGTATGTGTCTACATGAGCGTACTACTGTGTCAACATGATTCTCATTGTCTGTGTGTGTGTCTACAGGAGCGTACTACTGTGTCAACATGATTCTCATTGTCTGTGTGTGTGTCTACAGGAGCGTACTACTGTGTCAACATGATTCTCATTGTCTGTGTGTGTGTGTCTACAGGAGCGTACTACTGTGTCAACATGATACTGATCACGCTGTCCAGTTTTCTCAACGTGCTGATCGTGGATCTCACCACTCACGGCATGAGAGCTTCGGCCTTACCTAAACTGAGACATGTAAGTCGTTGTAGAGTTCTGTAGATGTCTGTTAGTCGTTGTAGAGTTCTGTAGATGTCTGTAAGTCGTTGTAGAGTTCTGTAGATGTCTGTAAGTCGTTGTAGAGTTCTGTAGATGTCTGTAAGTCGTTGTAGAGTTCTGTAGATGTCTCTAAGTCGTTGTAGAGTTCTGTAGATGTCTGTAAGTCGTTGTTGAGTTTCGTAGATGTCTGTAAGTCGTTGTAGAGTTCTGTAGATGTCTGTAAGTCGTTGTTGAGTTCTGTAGATGTCTATAAGTCGTTGTAGAGTTCTGTAGATGTCTGTTAGTCGTTGTAGGGTTCTGTAGATGTCTGTAAGTCGTTGTAGGGTTCTGTAGATGTCTGTAAATCGTTGTAGAGTTCTGTAGATGTCTGTTAGTCGTTGTTGAGTTCTGTAGATGTCTGTAAGTCGTTGTAGAGTTCTGTAGATGTCTGTAAGTCGTTGTAGAGTTCTGTAGATGTCTGTAAGTCGTTGTTGAGTTCTGTAGATGTCTGTAAGTAGTTGTTGAGTTCTGTAGATGTTTGTAAGTCGTTGTTGAGTTCTGTAGATGTCTGTAAGTAGTTGTTCAGTTCTGTAGGTGTCTGTAAGTCGTTGTTGAGTTCTGTAGACGTCTATAAGTCGTTGTTGAGTTCTGTAGATGCCTCTGTGTCGTTGTTAAGTTCTGTAGATGTCTTAAGTCGTTGTTGAGTTCTTTAGATGTCTGTGTGTCGTTGTTGAGTTCTGTAGATGTCTGTGTGTCGTTGTTAAGTTATGTAGATGTCTGTAAGTCGTTGTTGAGTTCTGTAGATGTCTGTGTGTCGTTGTTGAGTTCTGTAGATTTCTGTATGCTGTTGTTGAGTTCTGTAGATTTCTGTAATATACCGGCCAACGCTGTCACTAGAGCCGCAGACAGCCATTCAAAGTTCCCAGCAGGCACTGCAATGTGATGCTTCCTACAAGAGAAATAAACAACCCCCTGCACCCGTTACCTTGACTCCCAGGTCGACCCTGCCATGATAATTTCCTTGAAGTAAAGGAGGCCGGTGTGATGCTGACTACATCACCTATCGAGTGCAGATTGGTTTATAAAATATAGGTCTAGCCCTATGTGCCTAGTATGACAGAAGACGCAGAAAAGTTTCATTTTGCCTGAGAAGTAACGGACATTAGATGAGAAGTAACGGACATTAGATGAGAAGTAACGGACATTAGATGAGAAGTAACGGACATTGAATGAGAAGTACCGGACATCACATGAGAAGTAACGGACATTACATGAGAAGTAACGGGCATTCCATGAGAAGTAACGGACATTACATGAGCAGTAACGGACATTACATGAGAAGTAACGGACATTGAATGAGAAGTACCAGACATCACATGAGAAGTAACGGACATTACATGAGAAGTAACGGGCATTCCATGAGAAGTAACGGACATTTTATGAGAAGTAACGGACATTACATGAGAAGTAACGGACATTACATGAGAAGTCACGGACATTACATGAGAATTAACGGACATTACATGAGAAGTAACGGACTTTCATGAGAAGTAACGGATAATTCATGAGAAGTAACAGACATTACATGAGAAGTAACGGATAATTCATGAGAAGTAACAGACATTACATGAGAAGTAACGGATAATTCATGAGAAGTAACAGACATTACATGAGAAGTAACGGACATTGCATAAAAAGTAACGGACATTGAATGAGAAGTAACGGACATTACATGAGAAGTAACGGACATTGCATAAAAAGTAACGGACATTGAATGAGAAGTAACGGACATTACATGAGAAGTAACGGACATTACTTGAGAAGTAACGGACATTACATGAGAAGTAACGGGCATTCCATGAGAAGTAACGGACATTACATGTTGTTGTTGTTGTTGTTGTTATCGATCCAGCGGCGCATGAGCTTTCGCCCTTTGGCCCAATGCCATGTAGTGGAATTTGCATGTTTTCACAAGCTGTTCTTTTCCTCCGTACAAGGTGTTCCACTTGTCTGGTCTCGGAGGGAGTAGCGTTCTTCTTGTCTCACTGAGTTTTGGGCACTCAAAGAGATGGTGTTCAACAGTTTCGTAGGGGTAGTTACATAGCTGGCACTCTGGGGAGTGTTGTGGCTGTATTCTGTTTAGGTGTCCATTGAGTGGAGTATGTTGCGTTCTAAGTCTGAAGATGGTGGCCTGGTCCCTTCTTGTTAGATGGTTAATGCTGTCATTAGGATCAGGGCCAGACATATGTCTATAAACCTCTCTTCCAGTGTCTCCCATGGCCCATCTGTTCAACCAAGTCTCTTTGTTTATAGCTCTTATCAGTGTTTTTGCTGTCTGGAGGGTTGTCGCTGTAGGTGGTTGTTCTTGTGTTGCTCCTTTCTTTGCCAATCTGTCAGCTCTGTCATTACCTGGTGTGCCGGAGTGACCTGGAATCCACTGCATCACTATTCTGATGTTGTATGAGGTAATAAGATGATCGGCATCCAGGATTATCTTGGCTATGTCAGTTCTGCAGCGTTCATTGCCCTCCAGAGCTTGAAGGGCAGACATTGAATCTGTGAAGATGACAATATTTTGGACCTTTGAGGGGTAAACATCCATTACAGTCTTTAGGTGGTATACTGCTGTTTCCAGTGCAATTATTTCAGCTTCATAGTTTGAACAGAATTCCCCGCATGCATCAAAAATCTCTTCAACAGATCCATCGGGATAACCTATGTAGATTCCGTAACCTGCTTTAATGGTAGCTTTAAATGCTGATCCATCAGTATAGACATGTATCCATTCTTGGGGGTAAGAATCAACGGTCTTTAGTGATGAGTTCATAAGAGCGATTGGGTCGGACTGTTTGGTTTCCTCGCCTACCAATTTAGTTTGGACTTCTGGAGCTTTAAAGCGAGCATGTGGTGGTAGGTTTTTTGCAACATTCTGAATTCCTTGACGTCTTTCTGGGAGGTGGTATCTGTCCTGAATTTCATTTACACAGTGTAAAACCGATTTGTGCTTTATTCTTTGTTTGGATTCCCAGTTTTCTACAAGATGTCTATTAGGATGGTTACGATTTTTCCTAACGCATCTTTCATAAATTTCTAAAGTGGCTTTTTCTCTCCGCAACCCGAGGGGTTCCACATTTGTATGGATTTCACATGCAGCAGTTGGTGTAGACTGCATAGCTCCGCAGATTAATCGGAGGGCATTATTTTGTACTCTGTCAAGAGTCTCTAGGTTAGTTTTGGAACAAGTTGTAAGCAGTGAGTTGTTGTACTCTATCACAGAGCGAACATATCCTAGGTATAAGCCCCTCAGAGTTTCCTTGTCTGATCCCCATGATGTACCTGCAAGTCTCTTTAATAACTGTAACCGCCTCAATGCCTTATTCCTGATGTTTTCAATATGGTTCTTGAGGCTGAGCTGCGGGTCAAGTGTGACTCCAAGGTATGTGGGATGCTCTTCTTTCATCACTTGGTGTTTGTCTAACCTCAGGTTAATATTCTTCCTTGCTACTTGGTGGCTTTTGGTAAAGATTGTGTAGACCGTCTTTGCACAGTTAATCTTGAGTTTCCATCTTTGGCAGTAATCATGCAGTCTTCTAAGGTCTCCATTCAGTCTTTGGGCTCCACTTTCCACATTTTCATGACTCTGCCATATTGCTAGGTCATCAGCGTACAAGGCTTTTTTCGGCCTTGATTTGTTCTGGCAGGTCATTGATAAAGATTAGGAATAGTGTACAGCTCAATGATGAGCCTTGTGGCAAGCCCTCCTCCAAGACTTCTTTAGAAGAGATTGCGTTGTGCATCTTAGTCTGGATTGTTCTATCTATCAGGAAGTATTTCACCCAGTTATACAATCTGCCATGTATTCCTATGCTCATCATCTTCATCAGGAGACCTTTTCTCCATACTCTGTCATAGGCCTGCTGGAGGTCGACAAAGACTGCCACTGTGTGTTTCTTATTCTGGAAGCCATCATGTATTCTTTGTGTCAGTCTGACATTACATGAGAAGTAACGGACATTACATGAGAAGTCACGGACATCATGAAATGGTTACTTTGTTGACAAGTAATCACTGACATACCGGAGGCTGGGGACTACCCAAGCACTGTGTAGACGGCGGGTGGAACTGGCATCTTTTGGTGCAGTTAAGATGAAAGTTTGTGTACAATGCACGAGCTGAAATCTGAAGGCTTTATTTTATAGGTGGGAATAAAAACTGTAACAATTTGAAACAAAACTGAAACAATTTGAAATAAAATCGGTAACAATTTGAAATGAAAACTGTAACAATTTAAAAGGAAAACTGTAACAATTTGAAATAAAAACTAAAACAATTTGAAACGCAAACGGTAATAATTTGAAATAAAAACTGTAACAATTTAAAATAAAAACTGTAACAATTTGAAATTAAAAGCTGTAACAATTTGTCAGTCCATGTGAATATACAATATGCTCAGCGTTGTGTGTCAGTCCATGTGAATATACAATGTGCTTAGCGTTGTTTGTCAGTCCATGTGAATATACAATATTCTCAGTGTTGTTTATCAGTCCATGTGAATATACAATATGCTCAGTGACGACTATGCTAGCCCCCGGACTCAGATACTCGCCCAACGTCCGGGCTGGCTCTGTACATGTGGAAAGAGCTTCACGGGGTTGCATGGTCTGAGAACGCATGCCGGAAGAATGAAATGCGAGGGTGCTCCACGCAGTAAACGCCGTCGCAAAGCTACTACTCCTGTGGTAGTTTCTGAGTCGTCAGGGAACGACGGGCAGGGTGAACCCCACTCGCCCGGAGAGGCCCATGACGTCGACTGCGGAGGAGCACATTTGATGATTTCTGAGGAAGTGCGTTCCAAGATCAGGTTTCCACCTGCGAGGGATAAGGTGGTGTGGTGTAAGTTGGAGGCTACATTATGTGAGGTACTAAAGCAAGATCTAAACAAGAAGTCGTTAGGCGACAAGCTTACGAAATTTGGCAATGTTATTTATGAACACTGCTCCCGCGAGTTCGGGACAGTGCAGAAGGCACAGCCGGGTGCCAAGCAGAATACTAGCAGGAGACAGAGGGACATTCTGAAGTGTCGGGCAGACAAGAATGCCCTCAGAAAACGGTTCAAAGCCGCTACAGGCAGCTACGGGGGGGGGGGGGGGGGGGGGGGGGGGGGGGGGGGGGTTATACGAAGTTTGGTTGCATTTAAAGAACAAACACAGTGCCCTCTGTCGCGCTGAGCGTTTCTGTGCCAACAGACGAAAAACCAAAAGGGAGCGAGAGAAATTCTTTAGGGACCCGTATCAGTTTGCTCGAGGTCTATTCGAGCAACCGAAGTCTGGGACTCTGGTTGTCAGTCAGGAAGAACTAGAGCTACATCTACGCAAGATGTACTCTGACAAAAAGAGGAGAGAGCCTCACGATGACCATCCAGAGATCCTTAGCGGCCTTAAACAGCCTTCGGTGCCGAAGGTACCATTTAAAATGGTACCTCCCCTTTAGTCTGAGGTTGAGGAAATTGTTAAAAAGGCCAGCGGCAAGTCTGCCCCAGGTAAGAACGGTGTTCCGTACGTTTTTTACAAGCGCTGCCAGAAAATCCTAAAAATGCTTCACGTCTTGTTGAGACAAGTGTGGATCCGCAATCACATATGTCCAGAGTGGCAAAAGGCAAATGGGGTCTACATTCCCAAAGAGCAGGACTCAAAGAGTCTTTCCCAATTCAGGCCCATCTCGCTGTTGAATGTCGAGGGTAAGATTTTCTTCTCGGTCATGGCTCGCCGGCTCACACAGTATCTGATGGCTAACAAGTACATAGATACGAGTGTTCAGAAGGGTGGTATTCCAGGCGTTCCTGGGTGCCTTGAACACGCGACCATGATTTGGTAGGCTATCCAGAGAGCCAAGCATGAGAGAACCGAATTGCACGTTATATGGTTGGACTTAGCCAACGCCTACGGGGCAGTCCCCCATAGGCTACTGTGGCGAGCCCTTCGCATGTTTCACGTACCAGCACAGATCAATCAAATGATCGAGCAATATTTCTCTAAGTTCGCTTTGCGCTTCTCTACCTCGACGTTTACCACGAGGTGGACTGAGTTGTAGATTGGGATAGCTATGGGGTGTACGATCTCACCTATACTGTTTGTCATGGCCATGCAGATCATGTTAGACGGGGCGGCCGGCTACGGACAAGGCCTTCAAATTGGGGACCACTGGATGCCGCCACTACGCGCATTTATGGATGACACGACTATTGTAACGGGCAGCGAGGAGTCTGCCCGCACGATCCTGAAAAGATTGGGCGCGGTGGTCCAATGGAGCGGAATGCAGTTCAAACCGCAGAAGTCGAGGAGTCTGTCAATCCATAAGGGCAAGGTGTCGGCAACCAGTTTTACGGTGGCAAGGAACAAGATCCCCACGGTTCAGGATGAACCGGTGAAGAGCCTTGGTCGCGTTTACGATTCGAAGTTATCTGATAGAGCGGAAGTCCGGCGAATACACGAGTCACTGGCTACAGGCCTGCTCGCGATCGAGCGATGCAGGCTGGTCGGGAAATTCAAGGTATGGTGTCTCCAATTCATGTTGATTCCGAAACTCCTATGGCCACTGTTAGTCTACGAGGTGACGATGACTGCAGTGGAAACCATGGAGAGAAAGATCAACACAGCCTTGAGAAAGTGGATTGGAGCACCGCCTTGTCTGACCGACGTGGCTCTGTATTGTAAGCAGGCTAAGCTGGTACTTCCGTTCAAATCAATAACCGAAGAATTTAAAGTCGGCAAAGTAAGACTAGCCATGCTCTTGCGCGAGTCTTCAGACCCAAATGTCATCGCTGTCCAGCCCGCTCTAAAGACTGGCCAGAAGTGGAGGGTCCTCGATGCGATTGAATCTGCTCAGAACGCACTAAAATTGAAGGAGATAATGGGATACACTCAAACCGACCGTCGAGGCCTAGGACACGGGAAGGTCAATTGGTGGTCAAAGGCCTCAGCCAAAGAGCGCCGAGACATGGTAATACAAACGGTGAGGGAAAACGAAAACGAGGTTCGGGTCCAGAAAGCAGACCAGCAGGCGCAGCAGGGCCATTGGGTCAGCCTGGAGAGCGCATTGCCAAGAGTACTCACATGGGGTGAGATCTGGCGAATGACCCCGCTGCGACTGAGCTTTATCGTTCGTTCGGCGTACGATGTATAACGGTCCGGTGTTAACATGGTTAAATGGTCTGCGACTAACGATCCGACTTGCCCGTTGTGCAAAGCGAAGCAAACTCTTGAGCACGTCCTGTCCGCGTGCAGGAAAGCCCTAGGTCAAGGCCGATACACCTGGCGACACAACAAGGTGCTAAAAGAGTTAGCAGCCGTTGTTGACCAGGCTAGAATGAGGGCCAACGCAAGGGCCAGTTCTAGCATCGTCCCCATTTGTTTCCTCAAGGCTGGGCAGGTTCCAAAAGGTAAGGTCAACCGAAACGCATTCGCTCCATCTGTGCTAGACTCTGCGAGGGACTGGTTACTGGCGGTTGATCTGCCGGGCCAGCAGTATGTAGATGTGACTCAATGACTGATAGATCACCTTTCGCTGTGCTGACATAGTTTTGGGCTGATGTCTTAATAACAACGCAGGTTGCTTTACAAGCACCCTTCCTTTGGCGTCGTCTGTTAATTTCTCTGCATATTCTGTCATCAGTAAATCATTCATCATCATCATCATCATTATCATAAAACACTTCTTCCGTTACTCGTCGTGGTGAGAAATAATTGGCGATCTAGTGCACGCTGGCTGCCACCGGCTTTTGTGATGCCGTAAAGGTATAATGTGTCTTTAATGTTGTCCATCCTTTTTTTTCGTAGTCGTCCTCTTGCCCTTGTAGCTGATCTTCTGTGATGTTTTGCTTGTAATGGTATTTGATGATGCTGTATTCTAACGAGATGGCCAAGCCACTTGATCTGCTGTTTCTCGATGAGTCTGGTAAAACGTGTCGTTCCTACAATCTGTCTGATAGTATAATTGTTCACTTGATCCCGGCGGCGTTTCTTGGCCATCTTATCTCTCAAGTGGTGATTTTTCGTACATGACCTTCAGATATTGACCATGTTGGACACTGGTTGCTCATTGTTGGACTTAAATCATTTTTTTGTGAAAAATTAGACATATTTGAATATACAAAGGTAATACTGGGCACACTAGGCACATGCAGAAGTAAGAGCAGACATATTTTGTAGATCTGTTTATTTGAAAACGTTCTCACCTGGTGACTGAAGTGGCCCATTTGTTTGCAGTTTTTCTTCAACCACTTGGCCAAGTATCTGCTGATGGATGACTTGGTGCGGCCGTTTAAAGCTTCGGCAGCCAAGACCCGGACGCCGCGAGACGGGGAGACTGGCAAAATAGAGGTACTCTTTGTTTGTTCTTGTGTTTGCTTATTTGGTTTCATACTGAACAACAGTCAGCCACAGGCTTGGGAACCATGCTTAGCGTTGATGTCCATTCAGCAAGCCCCCACCCCCACCCCCCCACCCCCACCCCTCCCCCACCACCACCACCATAATTTCGTGAAGCAACTTGGAAGTGTCTTTACCAATTTATAGAAATTAGCTTTTCAAAAATTTTGTTTATTCATTTTATATATTTCCAGTACAAGTATGTTTTTTTATTGACTTGACATTTGGCACCTTATAATAATAATAATATTAATAATAATAATAATAATAATAATAATAATAATAATAAAAAGAAGAAAAACAACAACAATAAAAATAACGTGACAGCAACAAAAAAAAAAACAAAAAAAAAAAACAAAAAAAATATATATATTTATATATATATAAACACGCTTTCAAAGATCATTTCTGTGCATGGTCAATGGGGTGCCATGGCGCACTTAACAAACTTTAGCTCAGTTCTCACTTTTTATTTTGAGTCGGGGGGGGGGGGGGGGGGTGAGAAAAAGGGGGGGGGGGGTTAAGGACCATGAGCCTCCTCTCCCAGCTATTTGCAAGTATGTAAGATATTGGGGGGGGGGGGGAATTAAGTAGTCTCTGCGACACCCCCCCCCCCCAATAGGTGCAAATGAGGGCGCTCGTTTAGGAGCTGAGATGACTCTAAGCGTCATCTACCCATTTTTTAACATTCATATCTATTGTCTGTGGACAGACAGAGCAACTCTTGTATATGTGGACAGACAGAGCAATTCTTGTATCTGTTATCTGTGGACAGACAGAGCAACTCTATCTGTTATCTGTGGACAGACAAAGCAACGCTTGTATCTGTTATCTGTGGACAGACAGAGCAATTCTTGTATCTGTTATCTGTGGACAGACAGAGCAATTCTTGTATTTGTTATCTGTGGACAGAGAGAGCAATTCTCGTATCTGTTATCTGTGGACAGACAGAGCAATTCTTGTATCTGTTATCTGTGGACAGACAGAGCAATTCTTGTATTTGTTATCTGTGGACAGAGAGAGCAATTCTCGTATCTGTTATCTGTGGACAGACAGAGCAATTCTTGTATCTGTTATCTGTGGACAGACAGAGCAACTCTTGTATCTGTTATCTGTGGACAGAGACAGGAACTCTTGTATCTGTTATCTGTGGACAGAGATAGCAATTCTTGTATCTGTTATCCGTGGACAGACAGAGCAACTCTTGTATCTGTTATCTGTGGACGTAGAGAGCAACTCTTGTATATATTATCTGTGGACAGACAGACCAACTCTTGCATCTGTTATCTGTGGACAGAGAGAGCAACTCTTTTGTATTTTATTTAGGGATAGAGTAACTATTGTATCTTCATTTTATGATTAGATAGAGTAACTATTATATCTATAAACTATAGATGGACAGCGCAACTCTTGTATCTGTTATTTGTAGACAGATATAGTAACTATTGCATTTATTAAAATTGATAGATAGAGTAACTGTTGTATTTATAAACAATGGACGGACAGCGCAACTCTTGTATCTGTTATCGGCAGGATAACAAATGTGGCCAGCAAACTGATGTATCCACGGAAGCTGTAGTATCAACGCAGCCTGAGCACATCAACCAGGTAATGAAAGAAGACAGTTCGGTTCCTTTCTAATACTCTCATTACATTTTAAGAAAGACATGTGTCCGTTGTTTTGTCCTCAACCCACTTACGTGGGTTAATTCTGCCATGTTATTCTTTTTTTGTCCATTTAACAGTTTTTGTCAACATGTTTTTAAATTATCTGTTTTCAAATATAGTGAAATTTTGCTGTCTATTCTAGTTTGTTTATGTATATCATTTTCCCTGGTTGAATAATAACAGAGGGACACACACCACAGAAGTAAGTCAATCGGAATCTCTAGGTTTCAGTGGGTCACTTGCAGGCAGATCCACTCGTTGATACAGAATAGGACTGCCTGGTACAGTGGGTCTTTTGCAGGAAGCTATCATTGACACTATCATCTTTAGTTGTTGCACTGTAGCGTTGTGGAAAGGAATTTTGGAGTCTCAAAGGATCAGTGATAGGCAACAAAATAAGTGAGCCTATCTCACTCTCACGTGGTTGACCCTGTTTCCCCGCTAATTCAGTGGAAGGTTGGGGTTTCAATCCCAGTGGGAAAACTAGACGTGAGACAACGAACGAGGTAAAAGTGAAAGCTGGTTCTGTCGGTCAGCTACTGAGGGTACGGTGCGACACTGTGAGCTGTCACCTGCATGAGGCATGTTTGTGCTACCAAAAAGGTATGTGTTGCTGAATGCACGGTGAGGTACTGTCAGATATAAAGTTCACGGAGAATCTATGTGCTCGGAAGCATATGTACAGCTGGGTGTGCTGTAAAGTTCACAGTATTGTCTGTGCTCCCTCAGAAATATGTTGTAAATTTCTCTTGTTTGATAGTGTAAATCCCTTGCTTAAAAGTCTAAATTCCGTGTTTAATAGTCTAAATCCTGTGTTTGATAGTGCAAATCCCTTATTTAATAGTCTAAATCCCGTGTTTGATAGTGCAAATCCCTTATTTAATAGTCTAAATCCCGTGTTTGATAGTGTGAATCCGTTGTTTGATAGTGTAAATCCGTTTTTTTATAGTGTAAATCTGTTGTTTGATAGTGTAAATCTGTTGTTTAATAGTCTAAATCCCTTGTTTTATAATCTAAATCCTTGTTTAATAGTCTAAATCCGTTTATTTATAGTCTAAATCCGTTTTTTGATAGTGTAAATCTGTTGTTTGATAGTGTAAATCCGTTGTTTAATAGTCTAAATCCCCTGTTGAATAGTGTAAATCCGTTGTTTAATAGTCTAAAACCCTTTTTTAATGGTGTAAATACATTATTTAATAGTGTAAATCCCTTGTTTGATAGTGTAAATCCGTTGTTTAATGGTCCAAATCCCTTGTTTGATAGGGTAAATCCCTTGTTTGATAGTCTAAACTCGTTTTTTATAGTGTAAATCCCGTGTTTGATAGTGTAAATCCCTTGTTTAATAGTCTTAATCTGTTTGATAGTGTATATCCCTTGTTTGATAGTCTAAACCCGTTTTTTTAAAGCGTAAATCCATTGTTTGATAATGAAAATCCCTTGTTTGATAGTGTAAATCCGTTGTTTAATGGTCTAAACCCCTTGTCTTATGTCAACTTGGGTATCCATCGACAAGGAAAATATGTAATCTATACCATTGTTATAGTTTTGTTGTATTGTAAGATCCAGTCTTTCAGCGACAGTAACTGACTCTGTGTGTGCCCAGGTAGTCACTTGTCTCTTGGTGTGCTCAGGTAGTCACTTGTCTCTATGTGTGCCCAGGTAGACACTTGTCTCTGTGTGTGCACAGGTAGTCACTTGTCTCTTGGTATGATCAGGTAGTCACTTGTCTCTTGGTATGTTCAGGTAGTCACTTGTCTCTTGGTATGATCAGGTAGTCATTTGTCTCTTAGTATGATCAGATAGTCATTTGTCTCTTGGTGTGCCCAGATAGTCACTTGTCTCTTGGTGTGATCAGATAGTCATTTGTCTCTTGGTGTGATCAGATAGTCATTTGTCTCTGTGTGATCAGGTAGTCACTTGTCTCTTGGTGTGATCAGATAGTCACTTGTCTCTTGGTGTGATCAGATAGCCACTTGTCTCTTGGTGTGATCAGATAGCCACTTGTCTCTTGGTGTGATCAGGTAGTCACTTGTCTCTTGGTGTGATCAGATAGTCATTTGTCTCTTGGTGTGATCAGATAGCCACTTGTCCCTTGGTGTGATCAGATAGTCACTTGTCTCTTGGTGTGATCATATAGTCACTTGTCTCTTGGTGTGATCAGATAGTCACTTATCTCTTGGTGTGATCAGGTAGCCACTTGTCTCTTGATGTGCCTAGGTAGTCACTTGTTTCTTGATGTGCCCAGGTAGTCACTTGTCTATTGGTGTGATCAGATAGTCACTTGTCTCTTGGTGTGATCAGATAGTCACTTGTCTCTTGGTGTGATCAGATAGTCACTTGTCTCTTGATGTGCCTAGGTAGTCACTTGTCTCTTAGTGTGCCCAGGTAGTCACTTGTCTCTTGATGTGCCCAGGTAGTCACTTGTCTCTTAATGTGATCAGGTAGTCACTTGTCTCTTGGTGTGCCTATGTAATCACTTGTCTTTTGATGTGCTTAGGTAGTCACTTTTCTTTTGATGTGCCCAGGTAGTCACTTGTCTTTTGATGTGCTCAGGTAGTCACTTGTCTTTTGATGTGCCTAGGTAGTCACTTGTCTCTTGGTGTGATCAGGTAGTCCCTTGTCTCTTGGTGCGATCAGGTATTCACTTGTCTCTTGATGTGCCTAGGTAGTCACTTGTCTCTGTGTGTGCCCAGGTAGTCGCTTGTCTCTTGGTGTGCCCAGGTAGTCACTTGTCTCTTGGTGTGATCAGGTACTCACTTGTCTCTTGATGTGCCCAGGTAGTCACTTGTCTCTTGATGTCCTTAGGTAATCACTTGTCTGCTGATGTGCCCAGGTAGTCACTTGTCTCTTGATGTGCCCAGGTAGTCACTTGTCTCTTGATGTGCCCAGGTAATCACTTGTCTCTTGATGTGCCCAGGTAGTCACTTGTCTCTTGATGTGCCCAAGTAATCACTTGTCTCTTGGTGTGATCAGGTAGTCACTTGTCTCTTGATGTGCCTAGGTAGTCACTTGTTTCTTGGTTTGACCAGGTAGTCACTTGTCTCTTGGTGTGAACAAGTAGTCACTTGTCTCTTGATGTGCCCAGGTAGTCACTTGTCTCTTGATGTGCCTAGGTAATCACTTGTATCTTGGTGTGATCAGGTAGTCACTTGTCTCTCATTGTGCCTAGGTAGTCACTTGTCTCTTGGTGTGCCCAGATAGTCACATGTTTCTCTGTGTGCCTGGGTAGTCACCTGTGTCTTGGTGTGCCCAGGTAGTCACTTGTCTCTTGGTGTGATTGTACGCCTATGATTTTACGTGTGCTGTGTCTACACATGATCTCACGGGTTTTATATATCTGCATATTGTAGATGCTAGTCTGTCGGGAATGTTTAAAGGGGCATTTGTTCTGCTTCTTTTTTTTAATGTTTTTTATTTTTTATTTTTTTTCCCGCTCCCTCACAACAGCCACTAAATGAGGACACCAGCATCTTTGGCGACATCGCCGCAAAACTGGAGGAGCTACGGGAGTTTATGCGCTTCCAAAAGCTTCGCCTGAAGGAACGAGACGAGAAGGAGAACATTGCCAAGCAATGGAAGGCGGTGGCCTTGCTCTTGGACCGGGTCTTCTTCGTTATTTACCTGGTGGTGATCGCCGCCTCCGTCATCTACACGCTGCACGTGCTGACAGACGTGGGTCGCAAGAAGAACGAGGAGAGGGTAGAACTAGCTAAAACATATGTATACAACAGCAGTCTACAGACGTAGTCCGCCAGGCTCAAGCTCATCTGACCACCAGTCCCCGGGGATCATTTGACGCCATTGTGGCCTCGCCATAAACGAACTCGCATCTACAATCTGGCAGCCACAGATCTCAAGGACACAAATAGTTAAAGAAAGACAGGTTAGACAACATACACATTGACACTGAAATCTATATTTATAACATTCGTAACCAGACACATAGAGATGCGTTGGCGTCATTCTGAGGCCACAGGTTCGCTTCTGAGTGTTTTAACTAAAATGTTTAATTCTATATTGAGGCCGCATGTGCGTATATGTGACGTATCAGACAATAGATGCCAGTTTGTTGAGCATCCTGTCGGTAAGAAGTCAAGACGTCAAGTGTTATCCGGAAACTGTGTGGGCAGGTTACAAGAGCCAGTGCACTATAGTTTTGATATTAACACAATTTTGATTATTTATTTTATGTTCTTGGACGACTTGAGAATAACACATGAACATTTTCAGTAAACACATCATTTTCAGATCCAGGTAGTTTGAACACATCCTGACACTGTGCTACGTTTCTATCTGATTTCCAACGTTTTCCAGTCAAACACGGTTTTTTAATCTCCACCCAAGTCACTCGCTGTTTTCCAATCACTGCACCAAGAATCTGTTTTTATTTTACAAACGGGGAAATGTTCTCTAAGTTATCGACGGCCATTTCGCCAGCCTCAGCACTAGTTAGAGCAGTCAACGTTGCAGACAGCACTTGTCAAAACATATACACACGTTTGTTTTATTTTGTGGTCACGTGTGAAAGCAATCGCCCCATGACAACTGTTTCTACCGAGTCTCTAAGACAGACGCGTTTATAACGTCAAGTCATTGAACACTGTTTATGGCATTTCTTATTATTTCAACTAAAAACAAGTTATATTTTGTGAGCCGGGTAATCCCCGCGGCACTCAGCACACGTTCATCGGTGCTCAGCTTCACCATCCTTGTGTATGTGCGTGTGCGTGCGTGCGTGGGTGCGAGCGTGTGTGTGAGCGTGTGAGTGTGTGTGTGTGCGTTTTAGCGTCTTGCATCTTCAGTTTCAGCCCAATGCAGGTAGACGAAGCCCTTCAATACATATGGTGTGCCTCTCGTGCATGGCTGTGCCGCCAAATCTCCCATTCTTAACAGCTATGTGGACGCATTTCTCCCAAAATGCAGACCTCGTTGTGTATCTCTAAAGTATTATTATGTGCGATCAGGAGCTTGGCCATCGACCACTATGACAGAAGCGGCCAGTCTAGCAGCTCTTTTGTTGCTAACAATGCCCGCATGCCTCAGGACAAAGATAAAAATTACAAAAATGTGGACTTTGAAGTGACTGAATCCACGGCCTGCGTGAGGACCCTGCCTCCGCCACTCAAACGGTACTTATAACAAATTAGCAAGCTCACAATCTGAGGCTTCATCTTGTGGCGCTAATGGGAAAATAAACATGACATAATTGTGCATTTAATTAATGAACGTTGCAAGGCTCAGTCTGAACACTGTGTGTGTGTGTGAGTGTGTGTGTGAATGTGAGTGTGTGTGTGAGTGCGTGCGTGAGTGAGTGCTTAACAGCGTCAGCAAGTGAGTGAGTGAGAGTGAGTGAGTGAGAGTGAGTGAGTGAGTGACTGAGTGAGAGTGAGTGAGTGAGAGAGAGTGAGTGTGTGAGAGTGAGTGAGTGAGAGTGAGTGAGTGACACAGACAGTGGACAACTGTATTTTTTCAAATAAAGACCATACACAATGTAGTCCTCTCCTGGACGGTCAAACAAAACGGTTGTCCCTGTTACAAACAGCCAGTTGTAACACGTGGCTGCTTCTCCGGGACAATAACTAAACACGTGAAAACATACATTCAGGTCCCGGGGAAAACAGAAAACGTGATTACAGTTTCGTGAGCAGTTCAGAAGAGTAATCTGAATGTTGTGACAGAGGCTAAGATACGATGGGTAATCTGAATGTTGTGACAGAGGCTAAGATGCAATGAGTAATCTGAATGTTGTGACAGAGGCTAAGATACGATGAGTAATCCGAATGTTGTGACAAAGGCTACGATACGATGGGTAATCTGAATGTTGTGACAGAGGCTAAGATGCAATGAGTAATCTGAATGTTGTGACGGAGGCTAATATACAATGAGTAATCCGAATGTTGTGACAAAGGCTAAAATACGATGGGTAATCTGAATGTTGTGACAGAGGTTAGGATGCAATGAGTAATCGGAATGTTGTGACGGAGGCTAAGATACGATGGACAATCTCAATGTTGTGACAGAGGCTAAGATGCAATGATTAATCTGAATGTTGTGACAAAGGCTAAGATACGATGGATAATCTGAATGTTGTGACAGAGGCTAAGATGCAATGAGTAATCGGAATGTTGTGACGGAGGCTAAGATACGATGAGTAATCCGAATGTTGTGACAAAGGCTAAGATACGAGGGGTAATCTGAATGTTGTGACAGAGGCTAAGATTCGATAAGAACTTTGTAATATTAAAAATAATTCTTTGAAATCTGAAATGGTTGAGCTCCTGGAAGCGAGTTAAGGTACACATGTAGAGATCATGCATCTTTCCCGTAGTAACTTATGGGTGAGTCATGGACTCTCAGCCAGTCTTTGAAGAAGAACACTGGCTATGAAAGCACACAGGGCTGGGGAACTGGCTAGAGAAAGAGAATTTCAGGCGTACTGTGAGGAGAGCGACGTTCTGCTAGTTGATTGACTGACGAAATGAATGTTTCGACCATTGAGATAGAACCAGTGCGTTTGTGCAATAATATCATTGTGAGACTGTCGCAGGTATGTCCACGCTGTTTTCCCAAGCCTACACCTCTGATGTGAGGCGTCCACACCTATAATGTAAGGCGTCCACGCCTGTAATGTAAGGCGTCCACACCTGTAATGTGAGGCGTCCACACCTGTAATGTGAGGCGTCCACACCTGTAATGTGAGGCGTCCACACCTGTAATGTGAGGCGTCCACACCTATAATGTGAGGCGTCCACACCTGTAATGTGAGGCGTCCACACATGTAATGTGAGGCGTCCACACCTGTATTGTGAGGCGTCCACACCTGTAATGTGAGACGTCCACACGTGTAATGTGAGGCGTCCACACCTGTAATGTGAGGCGTCCACACCTGTGATGTGAGGCATCCACACCTGTGATGTTTGGCGTTCACACCTGTGATGTGAGGCGTCCACATCTGTAATGTGAGGCGTCCACACCTGTGATGTGAGGCGTCCACACCTGTAATGTGAGGTGTCCACACCTGTAATGTGAGGCGTCCACACCTGTAATGTGAGGCGTCCACACCTGTGATGTGAGGCGTCCACACCTGTGATGTGAGGCGTCCACACCTGTGATGTGAGGCGTCCACACCTGTAATGTGAGGCGTCCACACCTGTGATGTGAGGCGTCCACACCTGTGATGTGAGGCGTTCACACCTGTAATATGAGGCGTCTACACCTTTAATGTGAGGCGTCCACACCTGTGATGTGAGGCGTTCACATCTGTCAAGTGAGGCGTCCACACACTAGTAACCGGTGAAAACCCTCCTTCTGGGGTATATGTGTGAGTGTTAATGTGCTGACCGATCGTGTGTGCTCCAGTGAGAGCGTGTACCCATCTCTGTGTTCAACAATTTGTTGTAGATGTCTTTTTTTTATAAGCTTGTGTATTTATCGTGTAGTAACTTATGTGTGGAAGTTTTCCTGGCATGGCGGTTATACCCGAGACTGCATAGATCCTGATACAAGATTTGAGAGCCTTTAGCAGTTTTGTACTGGTGTCATTGTACATTTTGGACTTGTGATCAGATAAATATTTCTCTCAACACTTTCAGTAACCTGAATTATATTCTGACAATTTGCAGTAACTTAACTCACTGTTTCAACACGTTCAGTTACATAACTTCATGCGTCAACATTGAAAAAGCTAAACATTTGCTGCATTCACACATTGGGATATGTCGTCACAAAGGTTGGCTCTGCTGACGCCATTGCAAAATGCAAGTTGCCATATAAACAATGACTTGAAGACACTAGGCTGTGAACATGACTTAAAGACACATGACTTGAAGACACTGGGCTGTGGACATGACTTGAAGACACTGGCTGTGGACATGACTTAAAGATACATGACTTGAAGACACTGGGCTGTGAACATGACTTAAAGACACTGGCTGTGAACATGCCTTGAAGACACTGGGCTGTGGACATGCCTTGAAGACACTGGCTGTGAACATGACTTAAAGACACATGACTTGAAGACACTGGGCTGTGAACATGACTTAAAGACACAAGACCTGAAGACACTGGGCTGTGAACATGACTTAAAGACACATGACTTGAAGACACTGGGCTGTGAACATGACTTAAAGACACATGACTTGAAGACACTGGGCTGTGAACATGACTTAAAGACACATGACTTGAAGACACTGGGCTGTGAACATGACTTAAAGACACATGACTTGAAGACACTAGGCTGTGAACATGACTTAAAGACACATGACTTGAAGACACTGGGCTGTGAACATGACTTGAAGACACTGGGCTGTGGACATGACTTGAAGACACTGGGCTGGGGACATGACTTGAATACACTGGCTGTGAACATGACTTGAATACACTGGCTGTGAACATGACTTGAATACACTGGCTGTGGACATGACTTGAAGACACTGGCTGTAAACGGGACTTGAATACACTGGCTATGGACATGACTTGAAGACACTGGCTGTAAACGGGACTTGAATACACTGGCTGTGGACATGACTTGAAGACACTGGCTGTGGACATGACTTGAAGACACTGGGCTGTGAACATGACTTGAAGACACAAGACTTGAAGACACTGACTGTGGACATGACTTGAATACACTGGCTGAGGACATGACTTGAAGACACTGGCTGTGAACATGCCTTGAATACACTGGGCTGTGGACATGACTTGAAGACACAAGACTTGAAGACACTGGGCTGTGGACATGACTTGAA